AGACTTTACCAAAAGTGTAGTGACAGAACAAAGGCTAACAGCTTTAAAGTGAAAGAGGGTAGATTTGGATTAGCTATTAGGAAGAAATTCTTTACTGTGAGGGTGGTAACACACTGGAACAGAGCTATGGATGTCCCCTCCCTGGAAGTGTTCAAGGTCAGGTTGGATGGGCCTTTGAGCAATCTGGTCTGGCAGAAGGTGTTCCTGCCCCTGGCAGGGGAGTTGGAACTAGACAACCTTTAAGGTCCCTTCCAACTCAAAGCATTCTATGATTCTGTCTAACAAACCATTTCCTAAGTGAGGTTTAGATCTTGTCATTAAAAAATTTATTCTTCTTCTCATTATAATGTTAAGGCAGTGTAGGGATATAACGGAAGATTGGCGAGGAGGACTGTAGGTATGCTCAAGTGACTTGCATGTGAGGTGTTGGAAAACACACACATCACACTAGATCACTGCTTGGCCACGTGTGCTTGACAAGCAGCACACTCACGCTTAGGTAACAGAGGCCTGAGATAGATGCTGGGACTCCACATTCCTGCCCTGCAAAGCCATCGAGTGAGTCCTGGGAACTCAGTCAGAGCAGCAAGTAAAGCATAACAAAGCCTTGAGACAAATACCACACGCTTTCTAGCAAGGAGAGATCTCCTTATCCCTGTGCTGCTGCTTGTCGTGTTGCTCGTGTGACTGCTGCCTGTGTGCCTCATCAGGGTGCTGCTGCAAAGATTCTTCAGATTCTCACGTAGTGATAAATCTACTCTTTGCATTTCAGCCGTGGTTTGTGGTTGTTCCTGTGCCTTGCCTGTTTCGGCTCACACAGAGGGTGTTCTCAGTGCCTTCCTCTTGCATCTGCTACTAATGCCATACAAAACAGAAAGTACCTAGCACTCAGTTACCTCATAAGGATGCAAGACAAACCATGGTCTTCACAGTCACTTTAAGAAGATATGGTCCCCAATTTTTGAATTGAAAACTACACTGAAACAATCTTGCTGCTCTGATAACTGCTAGCAGGCAAGTTTTACTTGCATTTTAAATAGCTGCAACTATGTAATTGTGGAGGTTACAGCAATGTCTCCTTATTTCACTCCCACACCGACAAAGACAAGTGGGGAGTGCCATCTCCAAACTTAAACCGAAATAAAAACCTCCTCATACGACTGTGTCACATAGTTACTCGCACAAAGGCTCCTCCTACCAGTTCTCCAACTTGAACTGTCAAAGATCCAAGGAAGCAATTTTCAGGGGACTTATAGGCACTGTTTTCTAAACACCCTCCTATCCCTGCTGTGTGATTCAAATTCAGTCATAATGCTCTTGGTAACTTGTGTATGAGCGCCTTAAAAGACAATATTAAGTAGATACTGATGATCATGGTGTGTACCAATTTTCTGATTAATTTTGTGACCTTCTGCTTTACTAATTTCCCCCATCCCTTCCCTAAAATACTCTGACCTTCCCAGGCTAAGCTCCAAAGTTTCAGTTACGGGCTGACAAACATAAAAACATATTGGTAGACCAAGTACTTTTACCTGGAATTCAAAATTTGCTCAAGTAATTGTCCTCTTTCCAGATACTACACCCATATCATTACCCAAATTAGTTTTTGAAATTATGCTGCCTCTCAGTGGGCGCTTGAACGAGAGTTTGATGATGACAAAAATCTCCTGTCATGGTCCTGTTGTTTGGGAAGCTCATTAGGTGAGACAGATAGTGTAAGTGATTCACATGTTTTATGGCCTTCTACAAATGATAGCTTAGAAGGTATAAACCCAAGTAACTGCCTCTAGAAAATTTAAAGCCAGCAGCACTACAATAATTAAAAGATCTTTCTAAACTGTTCTGGTAAAACAGGCAAAACCTCTATAATCAACTTATCTGGGGAAGCAATCAGACAATAAAAACTGAGGCATTTTAGGGACTAATAAAGCCACAGAATCTAATGACTATAATAAATCTTTAGCCGCAGTTATTCCAGAACAATTTCCCTTGCAGTAAAAAGTATTCTACAGGGTTTTCTGTCTGAAATTACTATTGGTTGGTTAGATGTTGATCACAAGAAACAATTGCAGAATGACAATTTGATTTCTGGCATGTATTTCTGTCATTCAGCTATCCCTTTCATCATGAAGTCTTCTGGCTTCACTCAAAGTCTAGTAGAATCAAGCAACCCTTTGACAAGACCAGAAGTATATTTCTTCTTTATGTACAAAAACACACACAAATATTCTAGTTCAGCACGGTATTATGCAGTGGTTTTTGGACTGGTACTGGTCATTTTTCCCATAGCTCATATTTGATGTAATCTATAACTAAATATTTAAGTAAATCAATAGGTAATATGCATACCCTTAAAAGCAGAACTTGCAATGGCAGAATTCAGGCCACCTAACTTGAGGTGACGATGCTGGAGGTGTGCTAAGTGTGTAAGCCCTTTCTACAGCCAATAGAGCTCTGGCAAAGGTTCTCAATGGAGTCGGTATTCATTTTCACTTTCATGCTTTAGCAGTTTTGAAAAGTGAAAAATACTATTGTAATTACTTATGCTGATGTTCAGTGTATGAAAAGTAGATGTTTGTTGCCAGAAAATCAGTGCTTCGGTTTCTGTAACAATTCCTCACTGATAAAAATGCATATTCAATATATGCCAATACAAACCAAAGTAGAAAAATGAAGCTACTTACTTAAATGTAATTTTTGTTAGCCTATGTGATGAAAAACAACTAAAATCACCTCATATGGAAATATATCTTACGGATGTGGTTATGTATGCCCTAGATAATACTACCTGTGAAACACTTTAAAGAATTATTTCTCAGATGCACCCGAAACACCCATACCATTTAAATTACTGCATTAAGTATAAATTTTGATCACGTTCTTATGCAGAAGACAAAACATCCTTCTCAATTAAATATAATAGAGAAAACTTGAAGTAATATTACACTACAAATGAATTTAGTCTTCTTTTCTCTAGAGCTTCCACATGAATTTCTATTAATACAGAGGAAGTTTCAGTGAGACTTTTAATAAACTTAACAAAGTATTATTAAAAATCGAAATGTACAGAATTTTTAAGACACGTTGCTACCAAAGTACTATGAAGACTGCAGCACTGAAAATGTTTATGCTGAAGATCCACTCAGAGCTGTAAATAATTTTCTGCAGAGGCTCTTTAGAGCTTATATATCCAGATATCTAAAACCAAATGCAGACTTACACATACATCTCTGTGCAGTCAGAATTATAAGCAATCCCTAAATCCAAGCCAAACATGAAGTTTCAAATTCCCAACCTCTTTGATTCCTGCATTTTCTGAATATACCAGACAGCCACAGTACAGTACTTTTTGAAATATATCTTTCATCAATTTATTGTTGCATCTTATTATGGCTACTTAAAATAAACCAATTCAATAGTACTTTAAACCAGTTTCTATGACTAGGGTATCTCCAAACCAGACACTTGTACTGAAAATGAAAACTTAATAGATCAAACTATGAAAACTTGTATGAAAACCACACAAGCAGTTTAGCTATAAAGAAACTGCATAAAAAATACAGAGTTGTTTTTCCCTCTAGGATGCAAAATTTTATGAATTTAAGCTGAAAAACAATTCAGTCCTTTTTCCACTTTATAGAAGTCCTGTAATCTGAAATGGCAGGACCCCACAGAACCATTTATTAAGTTGTTCAGTGTTTTAAAAGAAACAAAACCACTCAGTACTTACGGTGCAAAAGTAGCTCCACTGTACTTTCAAGTCATGAAATTCTCCTAAAACATTTTAATTTTAATTTTGTTACACTAGCTAGTATTTTAACCTGTGAATGTCTTTTACTCATACTGGCAGGCTATTGTATGTCATTTTATTCTACTGTTCTAACAGGTAAACAGAAGTATCACATTATGGGGTTTTTTTTCTATCAAGTAGGTAAGCCCAGTGCAGTAAGGTATTTCCTGCCAAATCTATGCTTTTATAAATGGAAACGGGTATATAATTGCCGTGCTTTGCAAATAAGCTGGCTAATGGCATGTTTACTTTTTAAATGCAATGCTTACGTTTGACATCTTTAATATTTAAATAAAATGTTTAAAGTTTGCCAGTCCTAGAAATTTATATTTTGAATACAAATTAACAAAACCAAACCAAATAAACCTTACCAAAAGACCACAGAAGTAGCATGCTAAGTACTCAATTATAAAATAAGAGCCACACAGAGAAACAGAAACAGAGAATGCAAAAGGAGCAGTTGGCGCCAGTTGAGTCACTGAATCCTTTTTCTTCCATCTACTAGTAGTGCCAGAGCTACTCTGTAGGCCATACCCAAACGAAGAGGGTACGAGGCACAGGCCCCAAGTTTTTTGTGTGTTGCCAGCTGTAGTGATGTAGCCAGGGTCAGATACAAACCTTGATCCCAAGGCAGGAGGTTGTCCAATCTTCATGCAGCAACAGGGACCAGCACCAGCTCCCTCGTAGGGAGAAGAGATTCACAGTGCTCTTGGCAAAACCTCATTTCTTTTCCACCAAAACTGCCTTTGCACGTTCCTACCTAAACTAAGCCAGACAGAAACCCTGACTGGGTGAAGTCAGAGTCAGTAAGTGCTGATTTTAGTGCTACCAGTCTCCCTAAGCTTAGCACAGCAAGCAGTGCTGAATCCGGCTTTTGGGGTTGGCCAGACCAGGTTGCCTCTCGCCCACAGATGCTGGCGAAGCCTGCTGAAGCTGTGACCTCTGGAGTCCTAAACTAGGAGCACAACACTGACCACTTCACCCCTGAGACAGGAGAAGTTTTAAACAGCAGCCTGTGACCCTGTAAAATGGGAATACATTGGTATCAGCCTTGGAAATGACTGTGCATTTACTTATAAAAGCAGATGCACTATGGATGTTTATTCAACTCCAGTTCATCTACATGAAGTACAGCAGCGAAGCTTCACTACTATTTCATCTGATCACGCTTTCAAATTTCAGAAGGACAGAATGTTACTTTCAGACTTACCTTTTTCTGGTTTGTCTTGTTCAGTTTCTTTTTCACTTTTCCCTAGAATATTAAAAATATAAAATTTTACTGAAACAAATTTATGTTAACAGTTTATGGTAAGAAAGAAATACAAGAAAACTACAGTTTAGATTCAAAATATAATTGAGCCAAGAGGACTTGCTTGTTTAATTTTTATTTTTTAAAGTGACCACAAATTACTCTCTGAACTATATAGTTACAGTAAAGGTGTTTCTCTGCAGATGCTCCAAATATTACACTATTGCTTCTGTCAAGGAATATTTCATAAACTTCCCCTTCTAGAAATTTGGCAGATTCCAGTGATATACACTTAAAATTAAAGTTATTTTGCAACGATAACAAAAAAATCCTGTTCACTAATTAAAACCACTAGCTTAATATATATATATATTTGATTAAAATGTAAAAATCACAAAAATCAACTGGGAACAGAAGCAACTTGGGCACTCAGAAGCTTTTTGTCTTACTTCAACTTTAAAAATAATTTTACCCAGGTGTTTTGTAAAGATCTGAATGGAGAGGTAAATGTTAACTAAGCACAAGATAGTCTGTAGCAGAAGACAAGACTACATACTGTACCAAAATCAGAATATAGACAGGCTTGTATCTCCTCTTTTTCTCCTCTCTAAACACTTTCTGATCCTGCCTTACTGACAACATTTAAAGGTTCTTGCCTCAGAAGTCTAACCTTATTATTGTGTCCAGCTTTGTGCCAATAAGCTTCCAATATTTCCTCCCAATAAACTTCATAAAGAACACTAAAAAGAAAAGTTAGTTGGCTTTTTAGTTACTTTCCTCTCTAACATGCACTTTTTAATTTTGAGGTATTCTCATATATAGAAAAAAGTTCTTTAATTTCTAAGTCAATTAGACATCTTGTCAGAATACTCGATCTTCATTTTTTTAAATGGCTCACAAGCATTATATTGTGAATGAAACACAACACAAAAATGTTGAAAAACTGGGTTATGTGCACACACAAAATCAAACTACTTTACATTCTAATTTCATCCTTGACTACAATCTGACAACTGCTGCTAGTAAACATGCGGACAATATGACTGAGTTTTACGGTCAGCACAAGGCAGAATGAGTATTAACTTGATTATGATACAGTAAATTAGATAAACATGGCCACACTGAAAGTCATTTGCTTCTTCAATTACATCATATAAACCAGATTGTCAGCTGATTTGAAAGAAATAGCAAAAATATCTACAGAGTCAGTTACACACTATGGGACAACTTGGAAAAGGAATATCATTACTGTAACAATGTATTAATGACAACATTGTTCTGTATTTGCTGAAATACTGGAGTTTTTTATGTTTTTGCACATAACACAAAATAGAGAAGATGGTCGTGTCCATTTTTATGCCATGAGAAATACTGTATTTTCAAAAGAGGAATAATGCAGCTCCAGATGAGACACATAATATTTTATATACTTGTACTTCTTTTTACCAATTGAAAACACATGAACACCTCATCACAGGACAGTAAAGCATGATGCAGCGTGCTACTTAGCCACCCCTTTGGCCTTGTCAGCAACACTGATTTTCTCACCTGACCTCTTCTAATTCCTGCTAGGTCACTCAGCGACCTTCTTCCACCCGTGCTGGACATTCACATTATTTCTGCAACTTCTTTTCCATCACGGGAAGAACAAGGCAGGAGCTCGTCACTCTAAAGCCTGCCCTTATCTCCCACTTCTTGTGCCACTTCACTTGTCTTTTTTACTGAGGCTCATCCAACACATAATCTCCAGATCTCTACACTCATTTATGTACTAGGATCAATTCTCCAAATTCTCTCTCAGATTTTTTTCAATTTTTTTCAATTCTGGTAAATTGGCTAGCATTGATTTCACCAAAGCCTCTCCAATGATCTTTAAATCCTCAAGCTTCTCCTCCTAGGTAGCTGCTTTTGAAATTCATCACAACTTTATCTCTTAGCTCCAAAGCCTCTCATTTCTCTCAGCTCTCACCATATTTAGCCACGAATTCGCTTCAGCATCGTATTCAGCACATTTTGCTTTTTTCCTTGCACACTGATCTCTAGCTTGCTTTGATGGTGAAAACGGTTTTCATTATGCTATTTCTGACAAAGGTTTAAAAATGTAACCTTCTGACTTTTTCCTAACCTACAGTTCTTTATTCAGCAATATTTTTCCATAAAACTATGCAGGTGTTTGAAAAGTGAAATGGTCAAGAAATATTTTTGTTTTTAAACAGACAGTTGCAGACACAACACTTGCTAGATTTCTGATTTAAACCATGGACTATAACCTAGAGTATTTCTCTATGGAAGGTAGATACCACACTTCTCACAAACATTCACTCTTGTTAACAGGTAGTATCCTATCCACTTTAAGTTAAAAAGAGAAATTACGTGTCACAGGCAAAATTCAGACCAAACTGGTTGCAGAATAGCTAATACTCCAACAGGAGAAACACAACACACGTACAGGACACAGACCTTTGAGTAATGCCCGTTTTCTTGATATAATACTACTCAGAAATAAAAATTACTTCTACTTGTTCTATTCCTTCCTCTTTGCAAATATTACCTTCACTTTAATATTTTTAAACATGCAAAATTACTTTGAAAAATAATAATATTAATTAGTGGCTGAAGTAAATATTTATCCCCATAGTTACTATCTACTACATTTTGGAAAAAATGAGGACACTAGAAAGACAAATATATTCTTCTGTGTTTTATTGCAGCCAAACATTAAAACAGATTAAATATACATATTTTTTAACAGTCCACTTGACCTTGCTCGGCTTGGCATATTTTTTGTAAACATGAAGCACGTAAAATCACATACTCAGTTACAAAACACTTAAAATTTCATCACAGCATAATATACTCTCACAGTCCCATAATTCCACAAGTAGGCTGCCACTGTTATATAAAAAATCCTCCACTCAACACTCTAAAATTATTCCTCACAAAATATGGCTTTGCAAAAGTTATTGCTCTGTAATTCACAATCACAGGTAATTTGACTAGAATATCCCATCCCAAACTGCATCACAGTCTAAGAGTATTATTGCTTTCCTGAAAAGTCTAAAGAAGTCACTTCGGGACATCTGTGTTTATCAATCAGATGTAACACACTCAGGGTTTTTACATGGAGCCTTACTGAAATCCCAAACAAAACAAAAAAAGGCAAGCATATATGATGCCCCTTTCATTATAAATGTAAGCAACTAAAAACCTTACTTCAAAACAGTGTTACAGAAATTTAAAATCTCCCTGTTAATCAAAAGGTGACCACCAAAACTGATTTTTCTTCTTCAAAATTCATCATATTTCTTCAAAGCTCCCATATCTGGCTTGATAATTTACTACAGTCACAGCAATTATACCTGAGCCAAACACATGCAAAATGGCAAAGAATAAAATATGGCTTCATAATCGTGGAACAGCAGCACAGAACAGGTAAAAAGCACGCCCGTTACATTAAAATTCTAAAGGACTCAAAGTCTAAATTTCAGACGTACCATTTACAAGAGCATTTATGATTGTAGGTCTTAGATTTTGTCCTATTTTATAAGTTGAATTTCCAAAGCTTTTTATTTTTTAATAAAATTTACAAGTCAAGCGTTTATAGAAATTTGACTTTTTACGTAATTCATCGCACTTACCAAGTCCAGCTTCAAGATCATTACACTGGTATAAAAACCAAAAGAATTTTACTGAACTCAATCTGACTACAGCAACTCAGTTTTGGTGCAATCTACATCGACTCCCTGACAGACTATTATGTAGTTTCTAGACATTTTTGCTTTAAGAATCAAATGTTCATAAACAAAAAGTTCTAATTCACACATAAAGGGTTTCTGAAAAAAGTAATTTAGTAATCTCCCCTTTAACTAGTATGAATTAAACACACATATTTTGCACCCTGTTAGACTATTTTAAAAACCACCTGAAATTCATGTAGTGTAACTGTTGACGTAACATCAGTGCAAAAACATATAAGTCAAACTTCACAGCATAGTTTCTGCCCGATTAGTGTTTTCAATAAAATGCAGTTAGGCTGTATGCCATATCAGCAGTTATAAAAGATTTAAAAATTCATATTATTATATGTTTTATTTGACCAAACTGCTCTGTACATACTGTATGAATCCACAACAAAAGATATATATTAAAATCTGAAAAAATGTACTTGCTGCTACATTATAAATAGAATATTAATAATTGCTTGAACAGCACATACGAAATGCAGCTCAAAGTTGTAACTCCGTCACAAACACAGAAGAAATATAATGAAGTCACTAAACTTGACCAAGGAAAACAAAAATAAAAATAAATCAACCAAAACCAGACAGGAATGGAAATTACACACCCAAGTGTTAAAAAAGCTTACTAAAATGACAGTTGGCTACAACTCATTTACAACATCTTAGTGTTTGTTCCCCAAACCCTGAACTGCTTGGTAATTACATCATAAGATCTATTACAACCATCTGCTCCCCTTTTGTAGCGTATGGTTAGGCCTGGTCCTCCTCATGTAGGGACTTTTCTTTTGAAGCTTTAAGTATCTGAAAAAATAAGGGGAAATCTATATTAAAGGACCAACCAAAACACAATTTAAAAAAATGCAACTTTGTATCAGACTAGTTAATTTGAGAAAGCTATCGTTTCTAGGAGCTACCATAACAAATAAACACAAAGTTGCTGTATAAGGTGGGAAATGTTAACTTTTAAATATTAATCTAAGCAGTAAATTTTCTCTTGACATATGGCACTTCATTTACCTTGTAAAGGAAATACAGGCCATGTCACAAATACATGAAAACAAGTTTTTATTTTTAGATTTTTTATTTTTAAAAGTTAAGGACACATACAATTGGAAAAGAGGAGCCAGGGAATGAGGAAGGATCAAGGTTGTAAAGTGGAAATTTCTCTACACATAAGGGATTTCAGCAGTTGGTAAAATAAATGCAGGGTTATAAAAATGTCAAGGATATAAGATAAAAGGGGGACGGGAAACAACCCTTAGATATTTTAAATCTGAATATATATACAAGAGGAATCAAAGTCCATATACAAAGACCAAAGGCCTCCCAAAATCTGCAATATGTCACCCCTTAAAATATGTCACCAAAAAATACCACTCTATCACAACAACTGCAATTTATGTGCCAGTTTAAAAAACAATTAGCCAAAAATCCTAAATCAGTAATATTTCAAGCTGGCCTATCATACCACTCAAGGACATTAGTTTTCAAAAATACAGACTCTCAACTGCAGTTAAAATAGCCTACTGCTATAAAGTAGCATTGGTAGCAGTTTTAGAAGTAAAGTTAGGGAATTAAAAAACAGTACCTACAGATACCTAAAGATGCAATTGCCTAGTATTACTTTTCGGTTTATACCCTGATGGTTTTTGCTAAACCTTTTTATTTGTATTCCAGCATATCCAAATCCCACACCCAATCTCTTCACTATCTCCTCCTTTCTTTTCAAAACAAGTAAATCCTTACATTTCAGAAAAAAACTAAGCAGCTGCTCTTAACCTGATAGAAACTGGTGTTACCATGCTTCATTGCATGAATTTATATTACAGAAAAATATGTGCTCTACAGTCACATTTCTGAGTATCTTCTACACTGCCTAAACTTATGTCTGTTACACACATTTTTCACACACGTAAGAAGTGCATGTGTAGGCAGTCTTCATTAATTCTTGACTGTCTCTAGTACAACGAACTTTAATAATATTAATGCTGAAATAACAGAAAATACTCGCTTTGAATACCAAATGAAATGAAATTACATGAACAAAGGAAAAGAGATGTAAGAAAACAAAAAACTACCATACTGAATCCTCCATCACAAATAGTAAAAAATAAAATAAATCACTGGTAAATATGAAATTCATACTCTAAAAGTAAAATACGAGAATAATGTTGTCTGCAAACAGGCAATGCACCTTGAATCCTTTGTTCAGTTTTGGGCCCATTGAGGTGCTGCAGCATGTCCAAGGAGGAACAACAAAGCTAGTGAAAGGTCTAGAGCCCAAGTCCTATGAGGAGTGGCTGAGGGACCTGTGGTTGTTTAGCCTGGAGAAAAGAAGGCTCAGGGGAAACCTCATCATGCTCTACAGCTACCTGAAGGGAGGTTGTAGTGAGGTGGGGTTTGGACTCTTCTCCCAAGTAACAAGTGCTAGAACAAGAGGAAATGGCCTCAATCTGTGCCAGAGGAGGTTTAGATTGGATATTAGGAAAAACTTCTTCAGAGAAGAGACTGCCAAGTGTTGGGACAGGCTGCCCAAGGAAGTGGTGGAGTCACCATCTCTGGAGGTATTTAAAAGATGTGTAGATGTGACACTTAGTGATGGTTTAGTGGTGGACTTGGCAGTGTTGGGTTTATGGTTGGACTCGATGATCTTAAGGGTGATTTCCAACCTAAATGATACTATGATTCTAAATGAATAGTTGGAAAGCCATCCACTACTGTACAACACACTTAAGATTATTTTTTTGGGTCAGGTAGGAAAGTAACTTACTGCTACATGACTGAGCCACAAATTACAGCAGAAAATGTAGCAGAAAAATGGTCCACAAAAAACAAAATTAAGGATTTCGAGTTGATACTTTCATTCTGAATTCAGTTTTTAGTATATGTAAATGAAGAGATCATCTCAATATCCTCATATCAATACAATTGTCACTGTGCAGTGGAGTTATCTACTGTTGAAATTTTTCAGTAGTCCTGTAATGGTCTTTCTGTTGTTTTAACTTTAAGCACCAATATATTCTGAGAGAAAACATCTTTTCTTCTTTTACCATTCCAACTTAAAGCACAGCAAGCCAACTGAGCACTATCTTTGCTGAACTTCTTCGCTATGCTGTCAAAGGTAACTTGCTCCTATACTGATTATAAGGTCTGGTTAAACATATTTCATATTCATTATGAAACAAAACATTTCAAGATAAGGCATCTATTAATAAATACCTACAGCTTCAACATACCACATAGCTGTTATAATAAATGGGTTAGGAAGACCTCACAGCACAGTTACCTATTGATATGAGCATTTAAAATCAACTCCGTTACAGTTCAGCAGTTAAACTAAAACATGAACTAAACCAAGCCTCCAATCTCTACTGGGCAACCTCAAAGGCCTCTTAAGTTTTTTCACTTCTCTGGCTACTTTGGGCATGCCCAAGAACCAAACACATTTCCCTTCCTGCAAAGAATAACAAAACCCCACAGAACCTGGGCACCAAACAACGTAAGGGCTTCCACACAGTGCAGAGATTAACTGAAACAGAAAGGTGCTCAGACTAATCAGAATAAAACAGAAATATAGTTGTAAGGGCTCTTGGATTACAGCTTTTGTAATTTACTGGCCAGATACGACTCAGTGCTTCACTCAACACAACTGCTTCATTATGAAGAACAAACTAGAAACTTCTAATAATTAACGCCAAAAAAAAAAAAAATCAAATGAAACAACACGCAGTCTTCCAATTTAGAAGCCATTTAGCTACTCTGAAAATGGTTTTAGTAAACCCTACATTTACCACTGTTGGGCAACAGATGGTAGAGCTGGACAGGACATGCTCTTCTTCTATACATCAGTTACGTCAAGAAAAACATGATGGCATGATAACACAGTCCTGTTTCCAGGTAAGTGCCCAAAGAATGTGTCACAGGCAGACTCCAATTAGATCTGACTGATACATAGAAAAGTGACAGTATCACCCCGCCTTGGTCAGTTACTCTGGAAAGGACATACACACATATTAGGAGACCTGCAATTTTTTCTATCTCCCTTTACAGCAAAAGCTCACTAGAAAAGAAATTGTAATAGCCAGGAATGCTGGCTTTAGACAATTAGAAGACCTGAAGAGAGGAAAGTGTGTTTTCTGACTCAGGAAGCCCATAAATAAAGTGCTTTAAGCTGGAGAGACATTCCACTTTATTTCTTACACATACTCTCTTTCATGAGTACACACTATTGACTGGCTAATGGGATACAGAGCATAGCAAAGAAATTTTCAGCTTCACATGACCTACTATGGCCATTTTATCAACATCAGTTTTTCTGAACTGGATGCACTCTCAACTTCTGAAACTGAAGAGCACTCTGTAAGCCATTAAAATATTGCCAGTTAAAAACCTAAGATGTGAGGTTCCAACAGCACAGTTACGTTTGATCTTAGAAGAAAAAAGCTGCAGAAAAACTTATGAATGAAATTCATGAAATTCTATTCTATGACATTTATAATTCTGTTTCTTAAAAAAAAAATAATAGAAAACTCATGGAAAGGATAAGATACAAACCTGAGTCCTCTGGTTCAGTGGCCACAACATCTTCTGTATGCTTACTTTCCACTGTTACAAAGAAAATAATGTTGGAAGTTAAACACAGTAAGTTCACAATTTTGTTTTTATTCCCCACCAGCCATCCAATCAAATTAGAAGCAATCAAAAAGGCAGACAAACTGCAGAACAGCCAATGAGGCTAACTTAAGAGTACAGAAAAGGTACTGAATGCATTTAATGTCCAAGAGTTTAGTTCCTCTTTGTTATCAACTTCCACTCCTATTACACTTGCCAAAAGTGATTTGGGTTACAATTGTTGCCTATGTGAATCAATAACATTTGTTTCCCCATTTTATTTAATTTTATTAGAACATATTTTTCAAGTGGAAAACCTAATATATACAGCATCAAATCCTACACACTGTACTCAGACTAAACTGCTCAAGTCACTCTGTTCTAGCTGACTGAATTAATGTTTGAAAAAAATCTTGATTAATGGTATCTTTACCTTAGAGCAAATCTTCAAATTACATTTGACCCAGTACTCACCCAAAATTCCCTGACACTGTTACAATAAACAAAAAAGTACAAGTTTTTTTTTTTTTAGTAGTAGTAGTAGTAGTAATATGGGAGATTATATAGCCCATTCCTCAAATTGAAGCTCTGATTATTTTGCTAAGAACCTCACGACCTTCAACAGGGCTAAGTGCAAGGTGCTGCACCAGGGTCAGGACAATCTCTAGTACCAATACAGGCTGTGGGATGAACAGCTTGAGAGCAGCCCTGCAGAGAAGGACATGGGGGTACTGCTCCTGCGTGTGTGCTCACAGCCCAGAAGGCAACCTGTATCCTGGGCTGCATCAAGAAAAGCGTGGCCAGGAGGTCAAGAGAGGTGATGCTCTCCCTCTGTTCTGGTAACACCCCACCTGTAGTGCTGTGTTCAGCTCTGCTGTCCTACACACAGGAAAGACATGGACCTGTTGGAGAGGGTCCAGAGGAGGGCCATGAAAACGACTGGAGCACACAGAATCACTGAATTGTTGAGGCTGGAAAAGACATGAGATCATCAAGTCCAGCCTCTCCTACGAAGACAGGCTGAGAGAGCTGGGGCTGTTCAGCATGCAGAAGAGAAGGGTCCAGCGACCCATTACTGTGGCCTTTCAATAGTTAATGGAGACTTATGAGAAAGATGGTGACAGGAGAAGGGGCAACGGTTTTAAACTGAAAAAGGATAGATGCAGATTGGACATACAGAAGAAGCGTTTTATGTTGGGGGTGGTGAGACACTGGAACAGGTTATCCAGAGAAGCAGGGGATGCTCCACCACTGGAAGTGCTCAAAGTCAGGTTGGATTTAAGCAGCCTGAACTAGTGAAAGATGTCCCTGGCCATGGCAGGGGAGCAGGACCAGATAATCTTGAAATGTCCCTTCCAATCTAAACCATTCTATGATTCCATACAGCACATTTCATAGAACCATAGAATCATAGAATGTTAGGGTTTGGAAGGGACCTCGAGAGATCATCTAGTCCAACCCCCCTGCCAGAGCAGGATCCTCTAGGACAGGCCACACAGGAACGCGTCCAGGCGGGTTTTGAAAGTCTCCAGAGAACGAGACTCCACAACCTCTCTGGGCAGCCTGTGCCAGTGCTCTGTCATCCTCACAGTAAAGAAATTTTTCCTCATCTTGAGGTGGAACTTCCTACGTTCTAACTTAAACTCATTATATCTTGTCCTAATGCTGGGCACCACTGAGAAGAGATTGTCCCCTTCCTCTTGACACCCACCTTTCAGATATTTGCATACGTTAATAAGGTGCCCCCTCAGCTGTCTCCTTGCAAAGCTGAACAGCCCCAGGTCTCTCAGTCTCTCTACTTACGAGAGATGTTCAAGTCCCTTAATCACCCTCGTAGCTCTCTGCTGGACTCTCTCTGGTAGGTCCCTGTCTCTCTTCAACTGGGGAGCCCAAAATTGGACACAGTATTCCAGGGCTTTGTTTTTCTTTTGTTTGTTTTAAATTAGATTAGCAAATAGAAATGGAAGACAGAATGAAATGGAAGACAGTATGAAAAACTCATACCTGGCAGCTCTTGATCAGTATCAACATCTTCAATAACGTCATCTATAAGAAAAAAATAAAGAAAAAAGTATACAATGAGCTTGTTGTTGTTGTTTACATCAAATTCCAAAATGCATATAGCTCATCAAAACACTAAGATGTATTAAAAAATACATACCTGTCTTCGCGGGTTCATTCACCTCCTCTGGAAGATCCTCAACAGCTATGAAACAATCAATTCAAAGCAATAATGAGGTCAAGACCACACAACATACATACAACACAAAAGCACAAGCCGGCACATAGAAATAAATTAACTGCAAACAGTAAACTGCTACAAACAGGAACGTTAATCAATTTGAGGGGAAAAAAGACATTACTTCTTAGATTTTCTTCCCTGTTTCACTGAAGAACTATTGTATTCATTAGGTAAATCGTACCTTCTGAACAAGCAGTGTTTGGATTAAGACACAGTAACTTTTAAAGCTGCAATTTTAAAAACACTTTCTAAGCCTAATCAATATTCCCACTTTTATCTTTTGCAGCATCAAGTCCATCTCCTAGGCATATTAAAAACCAAACACCCCCCCCAATCATAAACTACTTTAAAAGTCTTTTTATTCAGATAAACATGCAATTTCTTCATTAAGTCCTACTTTACTTTCTGAAGGACAACAAGCAACTTCTCCACAGAAAAACAAATTATTTTTATTTGCTTTGAATATGGCACTTTTAAACTCATTTGACGGTCCTTTTATGCTTATAATCACAACGGAGGCAAAAGAGCTAACATATTTACACTAGAGAACTTCTTGACTTCATTCTAAACTAAACAATTGTGTCTTTTTCAATCAGCTCTCTGAGGCAACTCTCAAAAGAGCTGGTATTTCAAGACAATAAAGTGGGCAGGACCCAGAGTCAGCACTGCAAACAAATAATTTTTAATTGCACCAGCAAAAAGTAAGAATCAAAGCAGCGCTAGTACTGACAATCTGTAAGTTTTGAATGATCTTAAGCACAGGATACAAGGTTATGAGCAAGGCTCATGGCAGGCAGCAGGCTGCGTGTCTGTGTTGATCTACTATGTTCCAACCGCCCATAAAAAGCCTCATGTAACCCACTTTGTGTCGCTTGAAACCTTAAAGATGAATCCTCAGGGATAGTATATTAAAGGAAGGTGTCTAAGTTTATAGTCAGGAATCTAACTTTATAACTACACAGATCATAATGCACCTTTGCCATAAATTGGCAATATATTGTGATTGAAGATCACACAGATTATGTGTTTCAATATGTATAAATAGCAAGATTAAGCTAGTCACTTCTATGCTAACTTGACTAAAATATTTCTCCAATTTTGAAAATCTTTTATATTCCAATGGCATTTATTTTAGAGGTATTCATACTTTAATTACACATGAAACAAAGGTTTTCTAATATGCTCCATATATAAATATACATGGTAGGGCGTGTGGGGGAGTGTACACACACCCCACCAACACATATACATACACACACACATGTATACATTTATATATATGTATATACCTGTATCTTGAGTCTCAGTCTGCTCTTCATGTTCTGGCTCTGAAAGAAAAGAAAAATAAAGTTCTTGGGTGGTTGATATGCATGAAGTATCCTAAAAATCTGGTTGTTAAGCATTCAGTTAATTTCTTTACTGATAAGTGCAAAGCTCTCAAAGACTTTCTCTAGCTTTGGGGCCTTAACTGATATATGAACCCTTAGTAGAGCCTGTAGTAGAAATTATACCAAATGTGAACAGAAGGCTGAAATTTCAAGCATTTCTATCTACACAGAAGAAACACTGAAAACAATTAAAAGCTATCAATAAACAATAAAGCTATCGTTCTGTGCAACTGTTATAATTCACTACACTCCCAAACTTTGACTAAAGAGCTAGTCTAAATTTTGTAATTCTGAAGCAGAAATAGATTAAGAACATTTTTACTTTAGATAATGCCTGAAAATCAACAAAATGTTATCCTTTAACTGTCTATATTTTCAATATACAGTTACTGTGAATTTCAGAACTAAGTAAGTTCAATGTTTATCCAGCATTTAATTATGCTGGATAAATTTAATACAAGACTGTGACCTATTCTTTTTTTCTCACTTACTTTTTTATTTCGTCTCAACAAACATTAGCAAATAACTAAATCAAATTAAAACAGGATAATCTCCAAAGAACTGGTAGTTATGGGCAAGATGAAAAGGTAACACTGATGCAGTTGAACCACAGTTGACTGGACCAGGGTTTTGTTAGAAAAAGGGCAAAGTCTTTAACATTCTTACTCCACATATCCATCAAGTATGATAAAGACTAATACGAAAATATAACTTAAATGCATACTCTACACATCCACCAGTGTTAAAGATCAATCAATTGCTTACATATGGCAAGGGGTTTGAACATGAAAAACAAAACACAACCTCTACTGAGAACTTGCAAAGTAATACAACAGTGTAGAAAAATTTAAGATAAAGCAATTTCACTTTCATATTAATGGAAGAATCTGATACTTTCGTTTCAATAAATATAGCAGTTATCATATCATGGTCTTCATTATCACCATGCACTCTATTCTCTGTTTAAAGGAAAAAAAAACCCAATATGAAAATTAATGGATTTTTAAGTCAATAAGTATACACAAATAATACAGTGTCAAGTTTATTCAGAAGGAAAAAAACATATTCAAAACTATAGTTTTTCATACTCCATTAAACTTAATAAGAGTTTAAAGGTGAAGATTTCTAAAAGATCTTGTGAGAAGTGATTCATTTTCTGGCATCACAAGATAGACAATATCTGTAGGCTTTTCTTATACAGTTCATGAACTCATCTACAAATTACCTGCAATTCAGTATGGAAATACTTATAAACCATTTCTACATACAGCATATTTCTACAGTAAAATTTTGGAATCACTTGTTACGGCTTGCTTCCTTTAAAAAAAATATTTTTAAGATACCACTTTTTCCCTGACATTTATCACTTTAACTTCAACATCTTTGGCAAATTCAAATTATTTTTTATCAACAGAAACACTTCTATGCAATTTAAAATACAAACATCCATTCTCCTGGAAATGTAATTCTCAAAATATTATTCTGTCCATTTGGCTGTATTCATGTAGGTTTTGTATTTTTTTCAGAATCATAGAATGCCTTAGAGGTTGGAAGGATCATCTAACCCAACCTCCCTGCCATGGGCAGACGCCTCTCAACTAGACCAGGTTGCTCAGGGCCTCATCCAACCTGGCCTTGAACATCTCCAGGGAGGGGACATTCACAATTTCACTTGGTAAACTAATCCAGAGTCTTGCCACCCTTGTACTGAAGAATTTCTTCATAAAACCCAATCTAAATCCATTCTCCTTGAATTTAAATCCATGTCCCCTTCTCCTACCGCTGGATGCTCTTTTAAAAAGTCCCTCTCATTCTTCCTGTAGATTCCCTTCAGGTACTGGAAGGCAGTTATAAGGTCCCCCTGGAGCCTCCTCTTCTCCAGGCTGAACAATTCCAGCTGCCTCAGCCTGTCCTCGTAACAGAGGTACTCCATCCCCTGGATCATCAACAGATCCATGTCCCTCTTATTGTGGGGACACCAGAACTAGACACAGTATTCAAGGTGAGGTCTCACAAGAGCAGAGTAAAGGGGGAGAATCACCTCTCTTGACCTGCTGGCCACACTCCTCTTAATGCATCCCAGGACACAGTTGGCCTTCTGGGCTGCATGAGCGCACTGCCGGCTCACGTTGAGCTTCTCGTCTATCAACACCCCCAAGTCGTTCTCCTCAGGGTTAGCTCGGTTGGTTGGAGTGTGGTGCTGATAACACCAAGGTTGCAGGTTCGATACCCGCTTGGTCCCCATGTATTGCCTGATCTAGTTGAGAGGTGTCCCTGCCCATGACAGGAAGGTTGGATTAAATGATCTCTAAGGTCTCTTCCAGTCTAGGCCATTCTAGGATTCTATGATACTCTCAACTCACTCTGTACCCAGTTTATATTTGTGCTGGGGACTGGCCCGATCCAAGTGCAGGACCTTGCATTTTGACTTGTTGAAGCTCAAGCAGTTTGCACTGGCCCATTTCTCAAGCCTGTCAAGGTCCCTCTGGATGGCATCTCTTCCCTCAAGTGAGTCCATCGCGCCACACAGCTTGGTGCTGTCAGCAAACTTGCTGAGGGTGCACTCAACGCCATCGTCCATGCCACTGACAAAGATGCTGAACAGCACCGGACCCAGAACAGATCCCTGAGGAACTCCACTTGTCACTGGTCTCCACACGGACAACGAGCCATTGACCACTACTCTCTGAGTGCAATCTTCTAGCCAGTTTCGTATCCACCAAGTGCTCCATTTATCAAGTCCATGTCTCTCCATTTTAGAGACAAGGATGTCATGTGGGACAGTGTCAAATGCCTTGCATAAGTCCGGGTAGGTGATGTCAGTTGCTCTTCCCATACCAACCAGAGCTTTAACTTTGTGGCAGAAGGCCACCAAATCAATCAGGCACAATTTTCCCTTAATGAAGTCAGGTTGGCTGTCACTGATCATCTCGTTATTTTTCATGTGCCTTAGTACTCTTACCAGAAGGATCTGGTCCACGATTTCACCTGGCACAGAGCTGAGGTTGACTGGTCTGTAGTTCCCTGGGTTTTCTTTGTTTCCCTTTTTAAAAATCAGGGTTATGTTTCCATTTTTAAAAATCAGGCTTACGTTTCCCTTTTTCTAATCCATGGTAATTTTGCCGGAATGCCCAACCTCTCAAATACGATGGCCAGTGGCCTAGCAACTTCAGCCTCCAGTTCCTTCAGGATCCGTGGATGTATCTCATCAGGTCCCATGGACTTGTGCACCTTCAGGTTCTCTAGGTGTTCCCGGACCTGCTCTGCTCCTACCCTGGGTAGTTCTTCACTCTCCCAGGCCCAGTCAATGCTGTCTGTCTGGTGGTGTGACTCAAGTGGTTATCAGCGAAGACTGAGGCAAAAAACTATCGAATACTTCAGCCTTCTCCATATCCTCAGCAACCAGGTCACTTGTATTGCTCTGGAGAGGTCCCATATTCTCTCATTTTTCTTTTTTCTTTCACATACCTGTAGAATCCTTTTATGTTATTTTTGATGTCCCTGGACAGATTTGATTCTGTCAGGTTTCTAGTTTCACAAGTATCCTGGGTTTGAGCTAAAACCCAGTCCTATTTAGTGATTTTTACTTTTCAGTTTTAGTTTCTTCTAAAAGGCTGCACTTTCTGAAGTCAGTAGCATGTTTTCGTAGACAGTGCCTGCTACTAGCAGTGATAACACCTGATGTTTACAGTCACTGCCTGGGACTGGGATGCAGACAGGCTCTTGCTTTTACTTATTCCTGTAGTGACCAAGGCCACTGCTGGCTCTTGTGTGCCACACTGGGGGTGCCGGGTAGTATAGGGTGGTCACCAGGAAGTAAAAGGTTGCACCTCCGGGGGGTAATAGACAGGACAGGTGACCAACGAGAGTATTCCATCCCATATATGTCATACTTAGTATAAACTGAGTGATAACGAGAGTTTCTGCCTCTTCTGCAATGGCCAGTGTCCAGGGAGGACTCCATCTGACCTCCTGCTTTTGATCCGGATCCTGAGTTCCCAAATCCAGCTCCCTGTATCCAGCTCCCGGCTGCCGCCACTGAGCCTGGGGTTTCCGAAGTGCATCCTGCTCTGCAGCATCAGTGGGGATTGCTATCTGGGGAGGGAGTCGGGTTTGATATCGGGCTATTATCTATAGTTGTATATAGTTCTTTACTTTTACCATTCCACTATTATTTTCTATTACTATTGTTTCGTTAAAGCTGTTGTAGTTTTTTTTTTCTTCTCTGACCCAAAAGTCTCTCTGCTTCATTCCCTTTTCCTTCCCATCTGCGGGGGGGAAGAGGGGGTTAGAGATCATCTGTCTGTGTTAGAGGTCGGCCCAGCCCTAACCCTCGACAACAAGCAATCTCCTTGTAATCATCTCAGGTTACCAGCCCTTGCTTCCACCCTTGGTGGATTCCCCTTTTGTGTTTGATTTTGGCCAGGAGTTCCTTGTCATCCATATAGGTCTTCTGGCATTTTTGCCAGATTTCTTCCTTTTAGGGATACAGTGTCTTTGAGCTTGGAAGAGATGATCCTTGAAAGTCAACCATCTTTCCACGGTATGCTGTTAAGAAGATTCCCAGAGAGGCAAAAGTCGGCTCTTCTGAAGTCAAGGGTTTCAAGCTTGTTGAGCTTCCCTTTCTTCACTGACCTTAAGATCTTCACTGACCTCCACCATCTCGTGGTCACTGCACCCAAGGCCACTCATGAGCTTAAAACTGCCCATTAGCCCTTCCCTGTCAGTAAGAACGTCTACTGTAACACCTCTCCTCACTGGTTACTCTATCACTTGGAGGAGCAAGTTATCATGAATGCATTTCAGGAATCTCCTGGATTGCTTATGTCATGCTGTGTTGTCTCCAACTGATACTGGGGTGGTTAAAGCCCACCATGAGGATTAGGGCTTGTGAATGAGCAGCAAATCCTATCTGTCTATGAAGGGCCTTGTCCACTTGGACCTCCTAGTCAGGCAGTCTGTAGCAGACCTCCACTGTAATGTCTGCTACTCTATAAAAATACTGATGTAATAACTTACTAAGGAACCGATGCTATCTATGAGCTCCAAAGTTTTGGATTTTTTTCAGTCATGGTTTGGGACCAAAATTCAAAAAAAGAAGTAAGATTTTGGAGTGTACCTGTGTAATGCTCCACAGCATCTTCAAGCACGAGCTCAGAGTCATCTTAAATAAAAAGATTTCATGTTTATTATTGTAATCAAATTTTCATGCAACAGTTAAATAACACAAGAGAAATCAAAAAGGTCACATATTTAGCTCAAGAATAACAGAGCAAAACATAGTTGACTTAAGACTACAACGATTTATTTGGCAGTGACAAGTGGATTGTAAAACACACTAAGGAGCTACACTGTAAGTCACACAATAATAAGTTCACACGTATTTGTATTTACTCTTAAAATTAGGAATACAAGCAGGTCTTTGACAATCCATCAATTAGACTGGAAGACTCCTGAGAGAACTAGGTATTTACGTAAGTATTCATGAATTGGACTTGTGGGTTTTGTGTTCACAAATGTAATGGTAACACAGCTGTAAAAATCAAACTTATTTAAAACTACCAAAAAACTGTTTGAAAATAAACCGAAGATGAAACAGTCGACACATTAACTTTGAAGCATGTTTATCAAGTGTAAGTTATAATCTGAAATACTGAAAATTTACAAACCTGGGACTTCTGGATCACTTACTGTCTTTTCCACATCTGTATCATATTCGTATGAAACTGTAAATTGAATATTACAAATATTTTTGAAATTAAAAATATGAAGCTTTTAATACTCATTTACCTTAAATTGCATCTATAACGTGCCTGCCAATAGATAAATGTAGATCCTTTGTTAAAAACTGATAAACTAAAATCTTATAGACACATGCAACTTGACACATGGCAACCTAGAGGAATATGTCGGGCCACACTCTTCTAGTCTTCTGTTAGACACTTTGTACGAAAAATGCATCCAGAAGAGCCGTTAGTCTTAATCAATATTTTTTAATAGTTCTTCTAATATGAATTAAAAAATTTTTTTTTCCTCAAAGTTCTAAAGTAGCTTCTTTACTGATGTGCAGGACTACTGGTGATTATCTACAGAAGACAAGAGCCAGAAATCAGACTTTGGCATCTCAGATTTAAAGTATATTTACTTCTTTACGCTGCCTAGCTAAATATGTGAACTATTTTCCTCTGTGACTACAATTCTTTGTAGTGTTATTAATGTACTCACTATAATAGATCTGACAGCACATGGTAATGATGATAAACTAATTATCCTTTTACTTTGGAAGCATCACAGCTTGGATTCAAAACTGGTAGCTGAAAGCAGTAATCTCCCACAAAGACAGGAATAAGCAGTTTCAGCTGTATCAAACAAATAAAATTATTTTTCTGTCATATTTAGCAAACAGGACAGTGAGGCCCAGAATTAACAGTGAGACAAAGGTAAGAAGCCTAGTCCAGACAGAAACTGATGTCTAATATAAATGGAAGATGTTGCCTGTACCATAAACAACATTATTAACATCCAGAAGAAAATACTTATCAGACAGCAGGGAAACTGTAGTATCCCGCCAATGTTTTTTCATAATGGGAAAGATGAGCTATTGTCATTGTACATGGTGTCGATTCCAGTATTAAGATGACTATAAGCTATCTGGCTTAGTCCAGGCAAAAATTTAAAAAGCTTTAGAGATGAGTTAGGGTGTGTGGAAAGACAGTGCACGGACAGTTCAGAATTAAGTCCTTTGTGCTGACTCCCTCTCTGAAAGTGTAATGGGTCATAAAGAAACAAGCAGTCCTGAAGGAAAGGTTACAAACTGGATGCTTCTGAAAAGTGACAGGTTCCATGTGAGAACACAAGTTTCTGACTAATGTCAAGAACAGGCTAGAAGACCCTTAGTCTTCTAAAGGTAAGCAATAAATCTCATTCTCACTCTTTTAGACTGTACAACCATAGACTTCAATCACACATAACAGCCACAAACGCACAGAAAAGTCAAGTTTCTGCATTAATGATAGCAACATATTCATAGCTATCATCCCTTCTTTTTAAGAACCATCTGTAGTATCAAATACGATATAGTCATCTCAAAGTAAAAATATCCAAGACAATCAAGCATAGCTGTTCTGAGAAAAAAAAAAAATCCAAAATCATATATTCCTAAACCATTCTAATCTTTTCTGTTTGCTTTGTCACATAATTTCCTACATTTAGGCAAAAAACAATACTACCGAGTTTGGAAAACCAAAATTATACCTGGAGCTTCATATGGTTCAGGCTCCACTGCTCCAAGATCATCTGCCAAAAGATCTGCATCTGAGAAACAAACATGTATTTACAAATTTTAAAATTTTTACATCAATGCATCATACTGCAAACCTATAACAGAATATTATGCAAGAATAGAGAGAAATTTCTAAACAGAAATTCTAAGCACACTTCTTCTAATGCTAGGAAGATATCTACATACATTGAAAGAATTTTATAAAATTTATAATTTTATTCTTATATATAATACAGAGAATGTGTATACACACAAACTCTATAAACATTTGCTCAAAAAAGGAAGAACAATATACACTCCATATATGTTCACTCAGGGAAGGATGACTCTCCACAGAAATTACTGTGTAAATGTAAAGAAAGTAGAACATATTCACTTTGCATTCTTCATGGGAATTTTAAAGATTTAAAGTAATTGGAATTTGGATTTCAACTTTAGTTCCCTACTTTAACATGCACTGTGGATGAATAAAAAGATACAGAATCAAAGCAGTATAACAGACTCAGACTGAAGAGAATTACTTCTTCGCAAAGAAATTCAGTGGACTTTCAGCAATTGAAACTTTTAGATGACATCTACTACATGAGTTTTTTAAAAAGAGCCAAGATATATGTAAAATATTCTAGTGCAGATAAAAAGCATTCAAATATTTTTCCTCAAGTTGGATTTAGATTCTACTTTAATATTTTGATTACAAACAATTTTTATCATCTTGTCAATGCTCCAAAGCATGTGATGTGATGTTCTCAGCAGGACTCCTAATACAGTTCATGCATAATATTCTCTTAGAGAGCTACATTAAAAGGAAAGTACAGTGAGAATGAGTCTCTCTACAAAAGGCTGTGTCTTTCGAATGAACTTTTTAATTTAATAAACTAGAAAGTCCAGAAGCAGTCTCTATACAGACATTATAGGAGGCTTTCTATTGGGGGGGAAAGATATGCATAAATGGAACACAGATTAATTTGTTTGGTTGAAAGCAAATATAGCAGTAAACAATTATATATAGTTACCTCGGTTCCAAAACACATGTCATTTTCATTTAAAAAAAAAATTTATTTACTAAATTATACTTGCCATGGTTGACATTTGCTCAGTCTCCACTGCAAGCAAAAATTACATGTTTCAGTGAGACATACTTCCATTTGTCTGTTCTCTCTCTCTGGCAAAATTCGATTTTAAATACATGTAGCCATGCAGATACCTTCCTGAACTGAGTCTGGTGTCTCATACGCTTCTAGCATTTCATTCTCTAATTCTCTGAGCAAGTCATCTGTTGTAGGACCTTCAACGGTTTCTCCATGTATTTCTTCCTTCACTTGCCACTGGTCAGTTATACTTTCATCTACATCTTCATGTGTCTCTCCTAAACAATAATACAGATGGTTAGAGAATATATACGCTTTGGTAAATTTTATTACCAGGAAATAGTCTTTAGCACATGATTTGTGTTTTTCAACTAGGCCCCAGAGGGGACAGGGAGGGAGACAGATGACTCGTCTGCACCTTCCAGCCGCACAAACCCAAAGTATTTGCACCGACTCGCCAGCACAGCCTTTGCCACAGTAAAACCCATCTCTATTTCCCCATTCCTGCACTCTATGCAGTATTTTCAGGAAGTTTTTGTAAACTGACTGGTTTGAGCTATTGCTGCTGAACACCTCTGGGTAAGAGGCCACAGTTTCAGGATTTGGCGGCTGACCTCTCTGAATTATCTTGAAAATGACAAATTAGCTGATTAAAAACAGTTACGTGCCGGAAAAAGAACTTTCAAGTTCATCTAGCCTATGGCAGTATTTATAAATTCTTCTGTGATTTCTAAGTGTTAATGCATTACCAGGCTGAGAATGGAGAGTGTCATGAAGAACAGACTGAACTTCCTCATCCAAATCTACGTCAGCATTCTTCTGCTCTAAAAGGATTATAAATTGCAATGAAGGTAAGTGCAAAAAGCAAGGTCTAAAGATTAGCTCAAAGCTTTCCGCTTTTAGTAGTCTCCATAAAGTTCTTATTCTATTCCATAAAGTTCTGTAGAGATTGACTTGGTGAACCTCTATAACTTACACTATCACAAGAACACCTGGGTTTTGCCTAGGCTCCAATATGTCGAGTACTGTATCAATCACACCAGACTCATTCTGAAGATAAACTGGAAGAATTTACCTACACTGCATTTTCTGCATGTATATGTTCCTCAGTAGCAGTAACATAAATAACTTCAGATAATTATTCAAACCAAGAATTCTCTCCAAAGTATTATTTTACTAACACTTTCATTGCTTCCTTGCCTACAGTTTAGGTAACAGTATTAGCATGTCACATTTCACAACAAAATCATACTTGTAGAAATAGGGGTTTGTTCACTTTATAAACAAGGAAAATAGATACTTAACAACATTACAATCTCAAGGTCTTCTGGCAATTCACAGCAGAACAAATCACAAACTGATTGCCGGGACAAGTGGCTGTCATCTAACACACCGGCCCAAGACAAAATGGAATTTGTATGACATGTTGCCTTCATATAAATGTCCTGAAATTAACACTGAGAAACCCAACAGCACAAAATCCAATCTCAGCTGCACTTTTCAAATAAAGATCCAATATGACACCAGTTATGGAGAAAGCAAAAATTTAGTCAATTTAGTTATTCTGAAGGTGGAGAATCTGCTGTTATTCTGACTGGATATTCTGTTGCATAGATATCAAAACCAGTTATCAGAAAGTTCTTCTGATGTGATATGGTTCCAATAGTAACCATGAGAGCTGACAAGGGTGCCTACTATACATATGAATTACAAACTTTCATGGTCAGAGATTTACATAAAGTTATCAGCAGTGATTCTCACTAAATAAACTGTTCAGATAAGCAACACATAAAATCAACGTAAGATATCTTTTTCTACACAAAGAAATACCACAATGAGCTTGCCTACTAAGGAAACAAATTCTCATTCAAATGAAGCATCGTATCTTTTGTTTCACCTATGGTTTATGAAAGGCCTTACCTGATTCAACGTAGGACTTCTCAGCAGACTGGATGGTCTCCTCAGATTCTGATGTTGGCTGTGCTGGGACAGATCTTTCTTTAAGGCCTGCATTTTTCAGTTATAAAGTTAACTTTATGCTCTTTTTGATCTAATTTAATTATAAACTTAAAAAGTTGTTTCAATTAAATTAACTGATGTTAAACTCTCCAAAACGTATTCAAACATTTAAGCACAATTACAGGGCTGTCCTGATGTACAGCGATATATACAAAGAGTAAAGTGTATTCAGATAGTAAGCAAACATGTTTTGAAGACAAACATACAATGAGGGGGGAAAAGGGACAGAAATTCAAGCACTTGACTGTATTTCAAAGTAAATAAACAAGTGACTAAGCTATTCTTAACATCCATCCACTATCCAGAAGGAAAACAGACAAGAGGTTTTTCTCACTGTTTTCTCTTTGGACAAAAAGTGCTTCATATGATCAATTCCATGGGTTTTATGAAGAACTGATTTAACTTCATAAAACACTGCACAGAATGAGAACAGGTATTTTGAATTCATATGCTAAATCTTAGACGATCTAGTGAAGAGAACTGTAGTTTCTTCAAAATAAAGGAATCTCAATCTCCAGTTTCTTTTGACAACTAAATTCCTACAGAAAAAGTATGACTGATGAAATTTCACCACTAAGATGCTTACTATCTATACCACAAAGTCTTTCCAGATCACAATACAACGAAGAGAAATAACAGTAATGATCAACACCATAGTAAGAGATAAAAATAATTCATAGCCTTGAAAGTTTATGCCACACGTTAAAACACCACATCCTGTAGAAAGAATGTAACGGTATTAGCCGAATCCTCCTCTCAACTGCACGTTAGGCAGGAATCAGTTAAGACTTAAACAAAAGAGGTTCAGACTGGGTATAAGAAAAAAAAAATTACACACACAAGCATGCACCCCCACACTCATCCCACCATGGGAACAGTCAAATCAGTGGAAAAGGCTGCACAGAGAGGTTGTGCATTCCCATCCTTTGGAGGTTTTAAAGACCATGCTGGGTAACAGCTGGTGTAACCTGGTCATACCTCTGAAATGACTTTGGTTTGAGCAGGGTGTTGGGATAAGGGTTTCCTCAACTCCCTTCCAAACAGAATTCTCCTATAATCCCACATAATTTTTCCTAGGTTCGTATTTAAGTCCCACAGTCAGTTAAGACAAAATTACCTTCTTAAAGATACACGCACACTGCTCAAGACCTGCACTCACAGGTTCTCAAGACCTGCATTCACAGAAATTAACAGAAAAATAACATTTCAGAAAGCAGAGGCTACGCTATAATGAGCACTCCTGTACTGCTAACAATCTTGTAAAAGTAACTTTAAGTGGAACAGTAAGTATAATATTTCAAGTCTGTAAAGTTTTTTAAAAAATAATTACATTTTTACCAGAGTCAAGCACATCTTAATACAAATAGGAGTATGACTCAGAACAACTTGGTGTAAACTAGAGAGATTTTATCATTTTATGAATCATGTGAAAAACATGTATTTTATTCCACTGCCATATATAAGCAATGGGAACAGGAATAACAACTAATTCTATTTACACCTTTTTATACTACTTAAATTGCATAAATACAAGTAGTTAGCCTGTATCTAAAAATACTGTAACAAAGAATCCAATACTAGGTAGGAGTCAAGAACAGAAGCTAGAAGAAAAAAGCCAAATTCATACTTCATTTTTCCTGATTTCCTCCTCTGTCATAAAACAAACCCTGAAGCACTAAAATACGTTATTAAGACTTAAATTCATCTTTTGCTGCAGTAATATTAAGAGCTACAAAAGCAAGAAGTTACTTCCTTCTGCAATCATCCTTAACTACATACGGGGACAAAACCAGTTACTTAATTAGCCACTGTCTCACACTTCAGAATCCGGACACACAGAAAGAGCCACCCTGCTTTCACAATTACAGTTCCCTTCCCTCACACACACACACACCTCTTGATATAAATCCTCACATCCTCCAACAACCTACATCCACATCTTCAATTCCAGATATCCATGTGCTCTGCTTCAGGAACAATAAATGGATTCAAATTATTTCATAAGATAGTCAGCATTTCACAGCCAACAAGCATCTGGGGTGTGTAAAAAGGAAAGAAGGGACTAGGAAGAGTATTTGTTTTGCTCGCACATTTCAAAACTTTGCTTTATACACATCTGTTGTGTTTATCGCTGATTCCTATTCAATCCTGTTGAGTATGTAGTGTTTTAAGGCATTTAGGTTTTTCACAAAATACTATTTTCTCTCATCTTTTTAATAAAATAAAGCTGTACTCAGGTTTTAGTCACGTGGTGAATTTGTTGAGCTTACATGGTAACTTGCCATGTTAAGTTAAATGACAAATTGTCACAGAGATATACAATAGCACAACAGACTGCTGGAGCAAAAAAATCTCATTTTATTGTCTGGCTATCTGTATAGCCTAGAGTGCTGCACAACTGAGAAGTTCTTTGGAAAACCAATACATTCTTCAGAACAAGATAAACTTTGGGTCATAGGCACAATAACATGTTAATCCAAAAGGCACCTCATTCCAAATTTCACTCCCAGACAGATACGACTTCTGTCACATTAGGAGAGAAACTAAAAAGTGATGTGTTCTACTCCACTGTGCCACCACTCTTCAGAAGTGCAATTTGAATGCTCCTCTGTCAAACGTTTACAAAGGCAAAAATGAATAAACACATCTAACATCACCAAAACCTAAAGGAGAACGCTCACTATCAAGCATATTTAATAGATCTTAATTCTGTCAACATTTTTTTGTGAAGAACTATAATGTTCATAACACATCTTTTCCCTCCTTCTTCACGCATATATAAATACTAAGGAAACAGCTCAGTATATCATCTCTGTTCATTATCACAGCTAGAATCTTAAGCTACTGTACTATTTTCTAGAGCTTTCATTCAAACTATTTTTTCATAAATTTCCCTAAAAAAAATTTTTAAAAAATAGGTTACGTCTTACCCTATAACCACATCTTATATCTCTACAGATCAAAGCATCTTACAGAGACACATACGTGCTGGTTTCAAAAGGCTGAGATAAGCATATTGCCAACCGTTATACACAAAATTTAAGAAAACAACAGAATCAACCTTCAGGACTTTAATCTTAAACTACCACCCACATGCATACACACATGCTTAATTTCACTCCTTAGTTTTGTTTTCTTTAAAATAATACTGCAGTATAACAATAATACATTTTCAACTTTCATCACAAATTTCATTCTGATCCTTGTTTAATTTTATTGTGCAATTAAAATTTCCATATATACTAAGTGATATTATTTGTTTAGCAAAATTAGAAAATATTCCTTTCCCATATAAACTTGAAAGTAAATATATTCAGTAACAGTCTGAAATATCTCTGCAGAAATGTTGTGTAACTTTGTTTATTCTAATGAGAATATCTGATAAATCATCCCTTGATGCTAAAAATACAGAAGCTGTAAGAGCAAACACAAGTGCTTGCTTACAGAGGTATCATGAACTTGAAAAGTCTTGTTTGAAGAAAGTAATAGTTGCGAAAATGCATAAGCTGTTCTCTAATCAAGTTCAACCAGAATACAGTAGTATTAGCATATTACTTCTTAAAATGTGATTTGAACCCAACAATACCCATTGTTGCTGAAATAAGTGACCTAATTTTCAGAAGCATTAGCAGAAGCTTGGAAAACTCAGAAAAATTAGGACACAGTTAACTGAAAAGCAAAAATTAATCAAGTTTTCAGACCTAAAGATGGCTAAATATTAAATAAATAATGGAAGGAAAGAAAAAAAGCAGATCAATAAACAGAAGTGTAGCAACATTTTGGTTAACTATACACTCATATATAAACAGAACACTAAAGTTGGCTGAAGTGTTTAAAATAGTTTTCCCAGTCTACTTAAGGTGAAAAAAAATTACATTTGTTAAGTTCTTACAATAATATATTCCATTAATGCTCAGCTTGGTTGTTTTTGTGAAACAGAAGTATTTTCTTTTGAGTTTCCACCATATGTGTCTAGATAATCCTCTTAATACTGCTTTTAAACTGGCATTTGATTCACAGCAGTATATTTTTCATCCTCACATCAAGAAAATAGCATTTTAATACAAGGAAACAACAGATCCAGAATATCCTTGAAGTAATTGGCATCAATTTGACTTTTCTGTTTTCAATACACATCGTTAGCCAGGCATATTAACATATGGACATATTTGAGTTTCACAGCAGACAATTTTGCTTTGTGTTTACAATGCCAGCACACACTTAGAAGTTTCAAAATAAATACTATATGGAGCCTTTGTTCACCCTTATGTCCAGGAAACATTATCTTCTTATTGGCACATTTACCACATCCGTAAAAATATGATGAATTTCTCCTTCTTGATGTCTGTCCATTATTAGTAGAACCAGAACACTTTATTTCTTTTCTTTCTTGTCTTCCTTGGATGGGCTCTTAACTATCTTTTTGGTTTCTTTGTCTTTTCCCATCTGAACAGTACCATCCTTTTCACTGTCTGATTTTTTTGTAGTCTCCTTGGATTTTACATTTTTGTCTAGGCCTTTTTCCCTTCCTCTGTCTCTTTTAGCCTTGTCAGAATCTTTCTTTGATTTATTCATATCAACAGTTTTCTTGTCTTTTCGATTGGTAGCATCTTTTCCTTTCCTGGCTTTCTTTTTTTCTTCCTCATCTTTGATCTCCTCCTTCTTGGATTCCTGCTTCTCCCTTAATTTCTTGAGTGGCTCTTTAATAGTTTCTTTTACTTTTTATTTTTTCATTCAAAAAAGAGGAAATGTTCAATAAGAGAACCATTCTTAGATCAGAAAACATCTTATGAACAACTGTCTAAAAGCTTTGATCAAATTCTTGCTTAATGTTTGTTAGATGCCAATTTAAACTTATATTAACTATTTAGGCTTTAAGCAATTTAAACAAATTAGTGTTGACTTTTAGCAATATCTCACACCATGCAGCCAGCAAATAACCTTAGCTTATTGCACCTACATCCAAACAAAGCATCATCTAGTGAAAACCATGCCTCTATCATCCTACTGGTAACTAACTTCTGTAGAATGCTAAAACCTTTTTTTTCTGTGAGCATGAAAATTACAGTAAATTTTGAATCTTTGACAACAGCACACCGGTTTTAGGATCCACAAACTTTAGAGCATAACCAAAAGATTTTTTTCCCCAGTTTTCTTCAACTTTCTAGAACTACACATTACAACATTTTACTGACAGTGTTACCGCAGATTAGGCCAAGACTTAAAAACGTATCTGAAGTAAGTGTTTTACAAAAAATAAGTATGTAATAACTGAGAAGAAACAGCAACGTGCTCCAGAAAAGTTAATTTGGTGTGACCATATTCAGTGATATCAAAGTAAGAACTGTACGTGAATTCTTACATCTTTGCTTTTCCATATGTAGTGTTACTAGTAGCACTTTTTTGTTTGTTTTATTTTTGGAGCTGTATCTCTTGCCCTTATTTTTTGTATTTCAACTGACATTTGGCTGTGATATGGTATCCAGATAATATATCAGAAAAACAACCCTAACAGCATAATTGAAATCTAAATGATAAATATTTACTTCCACTTTGCCCAGAGTTTTGAAAAAAAATTGTATGGACTAGCAGCATTCTCCAGGAAAAGGAATTTTTAACAATACAATTTGAAATTTTTTCCATTAAATCTCTGTAGGCAATATTTGTATTTGATTTTAAAATTAACACCCACACATTATTAAGAAAAGTCAATAAAGGTTTTATATAAAAAAAATACTGCAGTTCTATTTTTATTCAGACTTTTGAAAGAAACTGAAGTCTGTTGAGGTACAAAGCAGGCAAGTGACAACATTTCTACTGTAACATCTGCCTCTAACTGCTGTGTAACAATTCTGTAGCGTAAACAATTCAGTCACACAGCTCACATGTAGAAGGAATAAAATCGCGTTTCCTTCCAACTGTTTTTTGGCATAAAACATTTGAAATACACCATTACCATTTCCTCATTCCTGTCTCAAACATTGAAAAGTAATCCAAAACTCGGGAATTAATTAATAAATGACATTTATTACATTCTTGGAAACACACTTTGCAACTGAGTCATACCAAGCACAGGGTGGAAAAATGTTAAAACAATTTCTTAGCATCTTGCATGCAAATTGAAAAGTCACATTCATCGAGCATGACGGCCTCCCTCAGCAAACACACTTTCTTCCCAATGAGACTATGTATTACAAACAGCATGCATTTTCCACACACTGCTGGGAAAAAAAACACATTAAAGTCTAAGTGTGTTCAGTGCAACACAGAGACTGTATGCTTTACATAGCACTATGCTGGGTGGAGATAACGGAGTACACTGAACGAGTTAGGCTCTTGAAGTACATTTGGTACTTTGGTGTTTTACTGGAGCTAATTAGCTTTTTTTGTCTCCCTATTGCACTGAACACATTTAGACTATTATGTCCCCCTTGTACTGCACTGTAGCTATAAATAAATATAAGCATAAATCGGTCACAAGCTATCCTACTTTAAGCTTTTGAAAAATTTATAAGTATCATCACTGCAATCAATCCCGCAGATAACATTAAAGGGGAACTTACTGAACTGTACCCAAATTTCTCCTCCCACAAGAAACAGCTGTACTATTATTTAAATACAGACTTAAGCAACAACTAAGGTGCTTAAGTCCAATTACAGTATAGTATCATGAATTCATGGAATATCTAAAAAAGGACTTCACACAGAGCAAAATCTGCATATATAGCAGAACTTGTTTTTAAAGATGTAGAATATGAAGTTATCATAAACTACCTTTAATCCCAACAAGACAATTGCTTAAAAAAATTTGCATAAACAAAATATAATCTCTAGTAAGGAAAGCCACATTGCCATTAATTGCTAATTAAAAAAAACTACCACCATCCATAATGAAATATGGAAAGGATAATCGTTTGCTGCACCATTAGAGAACACTTAGCCAAAATAGCTAGTATTAGTAAACATTATTATAACCTGCAATCTGTATTTGCAATGCGCATGCAATTCGGACATCATCATCTGCATCAAGTTCCACAAGAAAAAGACCATTAGAAATACCTTTGACTTTAGTTTTTTTCTTGGCTACCCCTCCCGGCTCCTCACCTGGTTTGTTGCAAAACGAAAATAGGTTACAAACATATCCGTGACGTTCAACAAACATGACACAAATTTTTCTAATCTGCCCTGCCGTGTAAAAAGTCACCTTTACGTAGCACACCGCAACGCTACGGAGAGATACCAAATGTTCTACAGAACAACGCATCTTCAGTAGCAAGGCCAGCACAAGTGTTGAGATGGAAGAGTGATTAATCCAAGAAAAGCACCCCATTACTCGATGCTCGCTGCTTCAGATGCTTCGTAACTCCCTAGAGCTAGCTCAGTTCTCTCCAGACAGTGTGATGCTGACGAATATCCCAGCAGATTGCTCTGCAAGGTACGCTGCCAGCTCTCTCCCAAACCCACCAGTTTATGTTTCTATACAATTTTATAAATATTTTATAAAGATATTAACTAAAAAAGATTTTCAAGCAAGTATGTGCTGTAGGTTATGTAAATGAAGTATTTTCTTACAATTCATTACGTTTTCTTATCAAAATGAAAATATATCTTTTGGTAAAGGTATTGCTCATAGTCCAAAGATCGGCTGCCACTTCATTTCAGTTAAAATACTTACTGCTTTACTTAGGGCTATTTAAGACTGTTAAATTCTTAATTAAAAAAAAACCAAACCAACCACACTTTACTCTCCAAAGTCAGGTGCTGCCCTTTTTCCCCCACTGTAGCTAAGCAAAACCGAGGTCACTCAGTCCCCTGATTGTGCTTTATATCTACTTCCACGAGAGACATGAAGGCAAAAGCCTTTCCCAAAATACAAATAATAATTAGCTTCATCTTTCTAACACCACAGAAAGCGAGTGGATTATCGCCATCATGCTGCTGTGGATTAAGACCTAAATCCCATAAACACAATAACCTTAACCACAAAAAATCATGTGCATTGCTACCCAAAAAAACCCAACAAAAAGTTAAGAAAAGTTACAGTAAATATATATTTTAAAATAAATAATCTTATTAACCAGAAGAGATATTCCCATGTCTCAACATTAGTCTTCTCACTCAGTCATATAAAGCACCTACATTGGACATAAGTTCCCAGAAAACAGTAATTACTCAAACTGGGATAATATACCTCAACATTTATTCTTTAAAAATAACCTCCCCATATTGTACAATAAAAAATAAATCATAAATTTAAAGAACGCAGCCACTAAAGTCATCAAAATCAATTTCTAATTTCTATCTTACATGTTCTCAAAGTATCAAGCACTGACATTATGACCAAAATTTCTTAAAAATAATTGGATTAGCACAATAAAATAAAATTTTTAGATCAACTTCCTCAGAAAGTCAGACCTGGGAAACAAAAGCCTTTTTAAGCATTTCCCTCCGATTACTATCATTGTTGAAGTCCAAAGCTCTAACTAGACTAAATTCATTATTCAATCTTATTACTTCTAAGCAGTGTGTGGAAAAATAAGTAAAGAATTTTCTCATATAAAAGGAAGAATAGACTCTAACGTTGTTATACTACAGTACAAAAGGTACTAAGCAAAGTTGCACAAAGCCATATTTAAATTTCCAGCTCCTCCTCTCTTTTCACAGGAAAAAAATTAATTACTGGATATTTTAAGATAACACTCTCAAAAGTATGCTTTGACAGGAAAACCAGAAAATTTTACCAAGAATTGTATATACAAAAATTATCATATAGAGATCTGAAACTGTTTTAAAATAAAAGTATATGCACTATATTGAAAGATTATCCATAATTGGTGAATAAGACACTTCATATTTCACTGGTTAAATATTCACACAAGTAGTAATTTGTTTCAATCTGATTTTATACAATGAATAGTATGTATTAAGATTCTCAGCAAATTATCAGTGTATGACATAACTCCGTAAATCGTGTATAATTCAACATATTACGAATAGACCCATTTTCAGGAAAAGTATGTAGAATAATAGATTCCAAAATCTTCATATTACATTATAATCACAAGACAGAAATCCTGCTGCATCTCAAATTCCACAGGGACTGGGTTGCTACAACGACTAGAGCACAGGGAAGGCTAATTTGTGAACCCCAAATAGCCTGAAACAAGATGTGAGTGCAAAATACTTCACTTTTCCAAGACAGTACTGGCAAGTGGTAAAATCTCACATCTAAGAAAAATCACTGTAAAGACTTAGGCTCTTACAGCCTTGAGGCACACAAACCAACATCCAGAATTTTATGAACCGGGTAACTGAACTTTTGGACCCTTATTCTAAGTTGAATTCAAACGTCTTCACACTTTCTCCAAGTTTTTAAAGTTGCTTCTTTTTTCCACTCAGTCCCGTATTATAAGTGTCCAGTGCTGGCAATATAAAAAGAAATACAGAATTTACAACCACATATGCGGTTATAATCAAATGTCAGAAATGGTTACTAGTGGAGCCAGTGAATTAAAAAGTACACTACAAAGTTAACGTAGCTGGACAGGTTTCCAATATTTTCTAAAGAACAGCGTTCAACAGTCAAACTGAAAATTAAATGCTCATGTCAAAATGGTTATTTTACCATAATGCTTACTGATAGATAACTTAGTATCTTAACTTTCTTTGAAACTTGTAATACAAAGGATTCTAATTCTGCAACAAAATCCAGTTGTTTCCTCTATTTTTCCTCATAAAAATCTTCAAGAACAACCTCCATAAGAAGAATCCCAAGTAAGAACACAGCTCTAGAATTTCAGCTTCAAAAGAAAAACACATGAATAGCATTTCATTCAGAAAGATGAGCACTGCAAAACAAAAATGAGACAATACAAAGCACTCGGTCTTTCTGAGCAGTTTGACAGATGTTTGACAGATAAGATTCTCATGTTTAGCAATATATTGAGAAACCTGATGTTTATTCTGCATATGCACATTTTGTATTATTAGTTTAATAATAATGAAAACTTTAATAGCCTTGCTATACAAAAGGCTTTGCAAAGTAACAAAATTCCTATAAATTAATTTCACCACAACATCTACCTACATGAACCCTTTTAACCTGCAGCATCATGTAAGCTCATTACAGGGACTTAACCACTTGCATGTGAAAAAGGAGGAGGCTACTTTGCTTTGACCATAGAAAGCATACAGTCAGATTAGCACTAAGCAGCTGACAGACAGAACTTGCTGCCCTTCTGCAGTTTGTGCAAAGCCTGCATAATAGAACATAGTGTCCAGCTCTAAACATTAGGGCTTGTGTTGACTCCTGGCTTAATTCATGATGTCGCATCAAAAATCACCTTTACCCACACAGAAAACATGCAAAAAGATGTTAAAATTGCAAAACTAAAAAGGGAAATACAAATCTGCAAGCCAAAACTGCTATGAATCTTTTTTCTCCCCTTTTTGTTCTCCTTCTCTAGAAAGACTGTAAGTCATAAAAAGCTGATAGTTTAGGTATACACACACGTAATTATTACCCTTATTCTGCATATATAATACGCTACATTGGATATACAAGGTCTTCTGCTAAACAAAAGAGATTACTGACAGAATCCTAGCACCCACTTACCTTAAACTGAACTCATTACTTGTATGTACAGTGCTGGGCATATCAAAGCCTTTTACCCTCTTAAATGCAAGACAACTTTTTTAATTCATAAAACTAGCATTAAACAAAAAAAAATAAAATACTCTCACTACATACTCAGTAAGTTGCTTTAACATCACCCGCTTATTTAACTGCCTTAGAAGAAAAGTCCAAACCAGAGACATAGGGCAGAAAGCATTTTCTTTTCTTAAGCCACAGATGCACATGGTGTGTCTTGTATGAGAAGATATAAGAAACACCAAGTAAGTCTTGCCTTTATTAGCCTCATCTTGAGTAATTCATCCTATCTGACAATGAGAAAGACAGTATTAAAAGTATTCCATGCTGCTGCACCACCATTATGATGGCAACTGAACAGGGAAAACAGTATGCATCTATCCAAAGTGACTGAAATGTATGCAACAGCTTTCCCCATCTCTCAAATAGTGATCAAGTCATATCTACAATACAGGTGGTTCCCCACCCCATTTGGCCATGAAATGAAATAAAATTAAAATCCTTCTAATACTTCAATGCATCTTTCTTCTACCCTTCCATCCAACTGTAATCTATATGAAAACTGACATAAAAATCCAATTTCTTCTAAGGGCAGTCAGCTGAGACTAACTAATAATGCAGAATTACCACAGAAGGAAACCTACAGGTGGTAAGCCTTATTCACTGACCTTGAAACAAATTTAAAGCATGAAAGTTTGAACATGCTCTCAAAAAAGCTCATTTTTTGAGAGGGGAAATAAAAAAGGACTGGCAAAAAGTCATTGCAGTAATAGTTTAAACAGGTATGCAAACATTTTTCTGTTTATTCTCTGCAGTTCTAAGTTATTCTATATATTACAGACATTGTGATTTTTTTCCCTTCATACAAAACACTGCCTTGCTTTCAGATTAAATATTGTTGAAGGTGGTCACAGAAATCTGGGGTTCAAGCCTTCCATAAGTTCTTTGCTATTTCACGTATATGGGTATTGAGGGTTTTTTCCATACAATTTATTTACATTAGTATCACAACAAAGCAAGCAAGAGCTGGTTTGTAACCTCTGAAGGTAACAGACTTCTGCTGCAGACTGGCAGTTAAAATATTAAACATTTAACAACACAAGAAAATGGTAAAGCAAAACATCCCACGTTTTTGAAAACGCTGACCAAACTGGAAGAATAGAAATTTAGTCACAGACATTTACTTCTCAAGCTATGTCGAACTTAACACAAATGACCTGTAAGGAACATGAAGGTAGCTAACAAAAGGTCCATGTCCAATTTAACATAAAATCATTAACTTTTCATTCCTTACTAGCTGCAAAACCTAGCAAGATCCTATCACTTAAACAATATATTGTCATCATTAAAAACATTGTTTGCTACTTATCTGCTGCTACTTAAATTCTCAAATCAAGAACTGTAGGTAGAAAACGGCAAACTTTAGGAAAGCTTTGATGCTTCTGCTCACCACTGATGAGGGTTTAATTACTAACTTAACAGGAACAACACCCGGCAAGAGAGAATGCTTTTCAAAAAAAACCCAACAAACAAAAACTATATTGCAGAAACTAAACACTCTAGAAATTTATTTACTGTTAATAGTTTCCCTAGGTCTTCTCCCTACAACCATCTGTTTTTCTCTTCCCATGAGTTCTTTATTCCCACTATAACTGGTTTTGAGTGGATTTCCCACAAAAAAATCAACAAAGAACTTCCACGATGTCAGATCAGACCTTTCCTGGCCTGCATTTCATCTCCCTAGACCAAGTTAAACTAATTTACTGTTTGCTGATGTAATCATTCCCTATTTCAGTGCCTGCAGCTTTCCCAAGGTTCAAGCAATCTCTTTATCTCTATTTCACTTGAAACTTCATCAGAAGTGTATTTTAACTACTCCGCATAAACTTCATGATACAGAATTCTCATAGTAGATGTTTTCATCTTCTTCTTGACTCTAGTTCCATCACTGAAGCTCCTACAGTAGAATTTAACGTTCCACGACAATTTTTCTAATTCATACTGAAGAGATATCATTGCCCCACAATAGTGATGAAACTCTTCTTTCTAATGCAAATCTGCTTTAAAATAAAAAACAAACAAAAAACCAAACAAAAAACCCCAACATATAACAACCAAACCAAGCTTGCTTACTTCCTACATCTCAGATACTTCAAAACTTTCTTCCACTTGCTAAGAAACTCCTACAGATCTATTAGCAATTATTCTCATTATGTATGGGGTGGGTTTTTTATTTTCTTTGCCTTATGATTCATATATCTTATCCTGAAAACTAATACACTTAAATGTTATTAACCTTCTTATATTCTAATCCTCAAATATTTGGAAGAAAATGTGACTGATGTTCTTCTGGCTCTATTTAATTTGTAAATTTTAAGCAGCAGTGATAACACATCACAATTTTTTTAAAAGCACTTCACTGTCTTAACACTAACACTTTTTCTTTTTTATTACTTTAAAAGATTGAACAAAACCCCAATTTGGATGATTTAATCAAAGTTCTTATGAAACAGACATGTTAAATTGCTTAAAAATTGTCATGCCAAAGCAAGTGAAAATTCATTTAATTTAAAAACAGGTTAAAATTTCAATCTGCATCCACAAGTCTTAAAACAAGAGTATAAACTTTATATGGGAAACTGATACAAATGTAAGCATAGCAGGCACCACGATAAACAAATTCATATAATTTTAATAATAAAACGATTGAGTACACTATTCATGTACTAAAAACACAGCTCAGTTTGAGCTTTTAGTACCTGATCCAAACTGCAGAATAAAATTAGAAACTCCCCTTTCTATACTAATAATTTTATGATAGCAGACAGAATTCATGTACATAAAAATATTTTTGGAACAACTGTCTTTAAAGGAGTTTCACAGGAAAAGGATCAAAATTTGCAGAACTGCATAAATTTCTGAATTTAGCAAGAAACAGAAGACATTAAATTCTAATTTCCAATTAGTCTTTAATATATTCAGTATTACATGAGAAATACATAATCACAGCTTCCCACTTCCATAAAAGTCCCACCTTAAAAAAATTCAAACAAATTTAGAACAACCCTCATGGCGTGACCCTTATATTAAAAAAATGACTGAAAACTTAGCTGGAAAACAGACAAACCAGTGGTAATAAACCATAATGACAAAGTATCTTCCGCACACAACAGATGTTAGCTAGCTTGGAAATAAAACTTCCTGTAAAATTTTCAAGCACTTTTAAAAAAAAGTGCTTTTATTTGAACAGGTAAAAAGAATCTGTCTGAGAAAGCAGTGAATCACAAAATAAATTATTTATTTAAACTATATTTCACAAAAGAATTATCATTGTCATGTCTATATTAAGGATTAACATATAAATATGTATTTACATAATGCAGTCATGCTAGAATACAATCAAAGCTGTTACAAAATGCTTCGGTTAATGTTTGCTAGAAAGACAAACGTTATCGTGTTAACAGTAGAGGTTATTACACTGAGCTTTCTAAGTTTTGTGCACAAAATGCACAAATTGAAGTACATACAGAAATCAACTACACAACCACAGATACATGTTTTATTCCACATATTTACACAACTGCGTAGTATTTGTCATCCTGTCACAAAAATGGAAAAGTCATTAAAAGGCTTCCACTTAGTGAAACTACGTTGCTTGGCTGACTTTAGATCAATTTTTATAACGTCTGTTTAGGAGTTTCCCTTCAATGCCATAAAATCCTGTTATATTAAGACTGGTGAAGTCACGGACATTTTCAAAAGCCCAACTAGTCTCTCAGTCACTGGTTCTGTAAGTCCAAAATAACACAAGTCTTTTTTCCCTGAACCCCTTCATTCTGTGACGTACCATCAACATCATCTGCAGCTTCGCTCTCTTCTTCTTCTAGTATTTCAAAAGGAGTCAATACATCATAGAGAAATGAGAGAAAGCCATAAAACCAATCAGAGCTTTCCTCTGCTAAAATATTAAGGACTTCCTCAAGGGAATCAATATTTTCATTACTGCCATCTTTGGTCAGGCCTACACAAGAATAGAGGAAAGAGAGAGAGAGGGAAGGGGGAAAAAGAGACAGCAGTTAGGTGGAAAGAGGAAACTGTAAAAAGAGGATCTGTGAAACACATGTCACAGACAGCAGTCTCTACAGGAATGCTAATTAGGAAATAGAAAGGTGTTAGGAAAGCAGAATCTTTCAAACTAGAGACTACAATTTGGACAACAAACATGCACAATATTATGCCCAAAAATCTTAAAAGAGGGTGGCAGCTTTGTTTTCCCCTCTTCCTAGTCCTAAACCCAAATCCATTTACATTCCGTTTTCTTGCCACAGCATTAACCTTTAGGAAGCTTTCTAAACAGTAATCCTCCACTATTTAAGATCATCCAATTTGCCTTTTCTTTTTTTTTTTTTTTCCAAACTTGAGAGCCTGCAACTGACAGCTGAGAAGAACATTTAAAGGCAAACAGTATTCATGTCACGGGCATACTATTAAGGATGAGATTGATTCTACCATGCAGAATTTTGATTTTGCTTAGAAGTGAGGACTCTTAATTGACAGGAGGGGTTGCTTTGCAGTTTGTCTGCTTGTTTTGGGTTTTTTAACATGCTTCTCAATCATTTTTTTCTATGGTATGTACTTTACATAATATAGGTGATCCTCAAAAGCTAATTCCACACCTGAAGATATGCAGAATGCTTGACAAAAATGAATAGGCAGCCAATATAAAGGGCATATGGGTAGTTACACTGAAAATCTAAAGCAGGTTAAAGACAGCCACAGTAGAGCTGGCCAGAAAAGTGAAGAAAGAGCTCATCACTTCTAAGCTCTGACACCAGGAGTTGCTATCTTTGGCTACAAGACACATTGATCTAAATAGTGTTTGTAAAATACAAATAAGCCATGATTAATGCTCTTTTTTCCTCCTGGTTTGTTTTTTGTTTGTGTGGTTTTCATCTTTTCTTAATTAAAAATCCACTGGTTTACAGTTATTACTAAATAACACTTTAACTTTTCCATTCTGGGAAAAGTACAACAGAATGACCAAGCAATGACAAATGTTAATTACTGGTAAGCTTTAAAGCGAGAAAGGGAGGAATTTCCCCCACTTCTAACCAGAACAAACTTTCATTTGTGTTGGAAGAAGAAGCAGAAAAGTGGGCTAAGAGTGAAGACAGATTATTGAGACATAAAATTACGTGAACATGTTGCACATGCAGACTACAAAGCAGGATTAGGTGCAGGTTAATGAAACATTCAAGATAGGAGTTCATGGCAGAGACATTTAACACATTTCAATGTGTTTTTCTTACAGGACATAGTGAAAGTATCAATGATAATTCTGAGGAAACTTCCAAGTCCATGATGTTCCACATCTGTGTACCTGATCCAGAACCTCTACTTGAGTGACCAGCCATTCTCTTTAATTTTTCACTGGACAGCCCAAGGGTTTTAAAAATGACAGAATGAATCCAGGAGGCAATCAAGGTATTATAAATATCCCTCTCCAACTTCTTCCATGGCTTAGTTCTATAAAAATTAAATTTTATAGACTTAACTTTATGCACAGTAGTCAGTCATCATTCTAATTTGTTTCAAAATCTGGACCAAGCAAGATGTAAATGCATAAACCAAAGTACATATATTTACTGAAGAATGAAATCTCAACTTAAGAGTGAAAATCTGAATTTAAAAAAAAAAAAACAACACAAAAAAAATCTAAGATATAAAACACAAAATTAAAAATATTTGTATCATTCTATTTTATTGGAATCTCACATTAAGAAAAACAAACCAAACCAAAATAAAGCAAACGAAACCAAAAATAAAACAAAGAAAACCACAAACAAACCCAGCACTCGCAGAAGATCCCAGCCTTCAGAGAGCATATATAAGCACAGAAGAACCAGAGAGATGCTCCTGGTTTTGCACTAAGTCAAGCATAAGACTCCTGGGCAACTGTCATTATAAAATGTAACATGGAGTACAGCAGCATATTTTCTTTGAAAAGGTTACAACATCAAAGAGAACTATAGAAACTGGAAGAATACTTGCTATAGTCTTCACCCTAGAAACCACCAGACAACAAAACTCCAAACTTTTCTTTACAAAAACCATCTAAGATTAGTATATTGATCAAAAGGTTACAGAAAAACACCCCACCCCCCCAAACATAAACCCACCCAAAACACACAGGCACTTCTGCCTGTTTTCTTTCTTAGAAAGACTTAAAATCTAAAATACGAATGTTAATTAACAAACTTCATTCATTCCTGTTCTTTGAGAAGAATTGCTTTTCAAAGTAAAACTCACGTATTCATAAGCACACATGAACATGGGAAGAAATGCCTAAAAATGGTGGCAAAAATCAAAGTGCTCAATTAGTGAGCCATAGCATTCTAAATCAGTAGCGCATAGGTACTAACTACTTCAAGAGAAAGCTAAACATCAGAACTTAAACAGTAACTGAGGGAGTCAAAGTCTTTATCTATTCAAAGTATTAGTACAACCAATGAGGCAGAGCACTTCCATACACATGTTTAACGAAGGAGGTTCCAAAAAACATTAGGAAAAGCTTTTTCACGGTGAGGCTGACAGAGCACTGGCACAGGCTGCCCAGGGAGGTTGTGGAGGCTCCTTCTCTGGAGACATTCAAAACCTGCCTGGATGTGTTCCTGTGTGACCTACTGTAGGTGATCCTGCTCTGGCAGGGGGGCTGGACTAGATGATCTTTGAGGTCCCTTCCAACCCCTGACATTCTGTGATTCTGTGAACAAGGTGATGCCTTTCTTCTGCAAATACCTCTTTTACAAGGACGAGCATATGTGAGTCTTTAATATCTGAAGGTGCTACAGTAGAATATGAGAAAAATAGAGAAGTGTATGAAACGGCCTAAGCAGCTGAGCGGTACAAAAACATTTACTCCTATTATCGCACCACAGATTTTATGAACGTGCAGTTGTTGTGTGACTACTTGCAAATATTTTTTGCTACTATAGGATGAAACAGGAATAAAAAGTTGGCTTAGAGAAGCTTGAATTCTACTGATTATTACCCTTTGCTTGCTGATACACTAAATTGTGAGGGGGTTTTTCCTTTTTTTGCACAGCTGGACTACTCTGAACTAAATACAGAAGAACAATATATTGATGACTTTCTGTAGCTGCAGCTCCAAAATCGTACTAACTACTGCAGACATTTAAGTATAATTTCCCAGGATATTGTTTCTTATTAAAAAGGACTTAAATATAAAAAAATGTCTTGGCTCCAAAGATTCTGTTACAACAGACATTGGTACTCCCTACCTATGCATTTTTTTGTAATACTACTAAAGCCACAGTTCATCTGTACCGAGCTGAAGCACGTATGGAGGTCTAACACTGCGCCTCAGTAGAGTAACTTCCGTCAAAGAACAGAGTGAAGTGGACAAAAAAATGGGAAGAGAATTAATGATAACAGCAACCCTCAAAGGAACAGGTTAAAAAAGCAGATTAAGCTTCCCATCACCAAAAGAAATTAAGAAAATAGAACCTCACAAATACCTGTTAAAAAGAAGGAATCTGCAAGATACTTCCAGACTAGCTTCAACAAGTTTGCAATTCCACCCTAGATAATTTTTTTATAAATGGATACAAAAATAATCCAACAAATATTTGGGGGTGGTTGGCTGGTTGGGGATTTTTCCCCCTCTTATTTTGGGTGCAGTGAAGCACACACCTCCTGCACACCATTTTTAAAACTACACAAATACCTCAAGAGAGCTTAATCATCAAGCCTCCTTTGATTTCATCAGATAAAAAGAACAGATCTATCATACTTCACAGAAATAAGAAATAAAAGAATAAATCTTAATTCTTCTATTTAGATGTGCTCAAGTAGAGAAACCTACTAAGCTATCATCTACTATACCATTCTTCGATATATAAAACAAACTCATGCTGGCAGAAGCAGTCCTCCAAATTAAATTAACCTAAATGTATATTATCGTTAATATGTAAACTAAATCTTCACATCTGTAGCAAAAACTAAAGACTATGGAAGTGGACACCATTAAACCATTGCATTTGCCACAATTTCAATATGTAGTAGTTTAACGATAGCTAAAGAAAGGCAAAGAAAAAAAGCATATCACTTCCTAGCATTAAACATCAAATGGTACTATCATCTTTTTAAATCAGTATTAAATCATCAAAGTACTTGCTGTCATGGTAGTCTGACCCAAAGAAAAATTTTCAAACACAGCATATGTACTAACAAAATCCTCACATATAAAATGTAGAAGGAGTGATATAGTCTATATTTAGAAAGTCACCCTAATGCTGTACAGTATTCTTTACTACAAAGACTTAATTCTGGAAGACAAATTCCTTAAGAGGGAATCCAATCTTCCAGTTTCTCCACCAATGAAATAATTTTAGTCTGCTTAGTGGCGTTTATTTTTTTTAGTTCATATTAAATGTAAATACAAAGAAGCACAATGGGAACTTCAACTAATAATATATGCCAGTTATTAAAAAAATATTTTTAATACTCATATTTTTTCAATGTTGCCTAACTTTTCAAAATTCACCATTTCCTTTGTATTGCAGAAAATATCCTTAAACTCAAATGAGGCTAAATCATATTTCTAAGCAAGTATTCAAAAATAATTAAAATAACTTTCGATCTGTGACCTTTTAATGTCACATATGAAGCATAAGGTTTAAACGCATGATAAAACAAACTTATAATAGAAATACTGTCACATACTGGCAGAATTCCCAGCTCTATCAAGTTCCATAAAACAGCCATGTAACAAAGCAGCAGCATGTTTCTCACTACCACCTTGGCAATCTGAATCCAATTAACATAACCCACAGGAGATTGATATGCACTTTCTATACATTGTTATAAGAGACAGAGAAAGATTAGGATTAGTGTCATTTTATTCACAATTTATAATAAAGACACAGTTTGTAGCTCTGAAGTCCTTCAGGGCACTGGATTTTCTTTAGACTGCCTCTCACATTCACACCACTGCAAACC